GTTGTACAAATTTGAACTTAAAAAAAATTCTATTAATATAAAATATATTGTTCAAATAATATAATAGAAGTAAGTATAATATATGGATACTCCGGGTTAAATTTTATAAAGTAGAAACTTTGGATGGAAAAATGCAATAACCATGAATAATTTATATTATGTATTTATGTAGGTATCATGTTTAAATTTCGTAGGTAATAAACACTGAATTATAATTATAATATTTTAATAATGCTATTTTTCTGAGATCTCATAAATAATACGATATTTTAATACATTTAATTATTTAACTAATAAAATTATGATTAAACGGCGTCCAAGATAGGCTATTTTGCTACTCCACTGTCGTAAGTTAAGAAATATTTTCTGGTAGGTGCCTATCTCAAAAGTATAATGAATTTCTCATTTTGCTTGAATCAATGTGTGGCCATATTGACCACTAAATTTCGGTCTTCCATAATTCATGATAATGATACATTTTTCGTGCTAATTACCTAATATAAACAGTTTCTATACTATAAATCAATAATTCTATCTTGTAACGAGTTGATCCGAACACGAAAAAAAGAAGAACGAGAACAATAACTCTCACCATCATATCTCTTTATATTTATTATAGGTAATAATTTTGTCAAAAAAAAAAATATACCTTCTGGTCTTGATAAAATCCCCAAGAATCTTTAAAATATAATAGAATCACAATTTGTTTTATATATATTTGAAGTTCTATTGTAGGTGAAATTGGAAATTTAATTGGAAGAATAACGACTTTAGTTACTTCGCTGTAGTTCAAAATTCTTATTCACAGAACCTTGACACATTTTTAAATATTATTATATTGTATCATACATTCATACACAATGATATTTTCAAAATATTTAGATTAATTTTGAACTATTTCTTATTTAGTATTCATGCAACGCAAGCCTTTCACAACGTTCTACTTCTACAGTAAGTTGGTATCGCCTCAAAAGTCAAAGGTAAATATATACCGATATGATATAAATATAATATTATAATTTATTGTAAGTATATTATACATTTATAATAATTAATTATAATATAATAAATGGGATGTTTTTGGCAAAAACTAATTTCACATACCCGTAATATCGTATAACTAATAATAGTAAAATAAATTACTTTAAAATCCATATACACATAAATAAATAATAAAATAGACGTGCTTAGTAGTTAGTAGGTAATAAATACTAACAGATCGTCTCCACTCAGAATCGTTTTTCGAATTCAATGATTTATCATTTAATTCAAATTTAACTCATCCATTACAGATCCTACTCAATGACGATTGACGAGGTACATTCTAGTATCCGACACTTACTGTACAGCTACAGTACTGTACTGTACAGTACCTACTTACTGGACCGCTTTTTACAGTTTGATTAAATAACGAGAATAAATACATTTTTATTGTCAAATATTTATATCTATGAGTATAGCTGGCTAGTTATAGACCACCTATAGTTAGTATAGAATAGTTTGGATATTAATTATTATAACCTTAGGCCGAAAGTATAATATAGATATTGCGTTTGCTGCAGCACTAACTCTTGAGTGTTTTTTCGTACAATATTCTTTAATTACCTACATGTATTACTATAGTAAGCAGGTTTACTTTAAACATGAATGACCTGCAGCTGCATTGATTTTCTGATATAATATTGATGTGTGCCAAATTATACGATAGCATATACATTGGTCATTGGAATATCTCGTTAAACTTTAGATGCTGTAAAATTAAAAAAAAAATGTTTGCTGCAAGCTTCTATAAATCACTTAATTAGATACTACGAAGGTCAGAAAGTATATATGTACAAATCCGATCTGTGAGATCGTAGTTATAAGCAATTTCTTCACGAGGACCTCTTACATTTTTATCAAATTTGAGTGATCGGTACTTAAATATTTCCTATGAATTCATTTTGAATTTAACTTCAGGCTTTGTTTAACCAAATAACCAAACCAATAGAAACTGTATAACTGTGAATTTGATTGGATACTTGTAATTTTCATCTACGTTCCGGTTCGAGTAATCCTCGAGAAACTGGCTTGGATCCGCGAAGTGATGACTGTAAATTGTTAATTGACTATTGGTAGTTCGTATACTGTAGTTTGCGATTTACCAACGTACAACAGTGGCCCATCCGAAAAACGTTACCATAAAATTCAAATATATTCACTAGGAATGGCATTCCTAAATCCTAATCAGTATCATAAATGATGATGTTATTGTTCAATGTTCACACAATTTCCGTTGACGCGATGACAACTAATTCTATACATAATTTCCTTAAATTTTAACGATTAACGTCGATACTTAATAACGGTCACAAATTAGCAATACACACACTAAGCAAAAATGATATATTCATTTCAACTATTTACATATCTGCATAAATTGAAACTCGAAAGGAACGGAAATTGTCGTTATTTTGCCTTGAAAAATGCAACTCATTTTGATCCTTGTTCTTTTTTATAAAAATGAATTCGTTCCAAGAATCCGTTCCTTCCAACTATTGAATATACTTACTACTTATAATATAATTAATCAGCTATTATATAAAACATGAAATTTATTAAATTTATTTCATAAATGGATAAAATTAGGTACCTAACTATATACCTAAAAGCGTATAAACACTATAATATTATAATAGAGGCACACATGAAGGATCGGGATTAACATAATTAACTCAAGCACTAATTGCTACTTTATTTTCCATTGATCTACTCAACCAGTTTTCAAACTTTACAGTTAAATAATTGATAAACATCGTACAGTTATATTAGTAGTCTTTCTTATACTATGTAGGCCTGCTGCTGGTAAATCTGCAATGGCGTTCGTGATAATATTATATTATAATAATATTATAGGTAGGTACCTACTATCTTATATAGGTACATTTTATAAGTACATGTACACTATGCGTTTTTTAGTGATATTTTATTGAAATATTTTACATAGTATTTTTGTTATTTTAATACAATATACTTACCTATTTACTAATATAATATAAGTTTATATTTGAAATAGGTATTGTGTAAATCATACTATTTTCGAAATATAGGTACGTATCAACATATTTAAAATTTTCATCGTTTCGCTTGCTAGACGATTTTTCAATGTACAATATTACAATAAAATATATTATGTAATATAATAAAGAAGGTGTATATACAGTACATACATATAATATTATTTATACCATAAATATTATACAACTGATCTATAATTATTGCCATATTATTAGGTATGTAATAAAAATAAGTACGTCTATATTTACAACTATAATTCGAGGCGTTTTAAATAATTGTTCTGTAAACTCATGTAGAGTATAAACGTTCAAAGACGTTGGGTTTATAAGTACAGTTTATAGAATATTTCTATTGTACAGGCGAATACATCATGACTCGCTTGGGAGGGATTAAAAAATTATGGCAAAAAGAAAAGGTCCATCAAAGACTATTATCGGGAAATAAAATCTTTCTATTGTATACACAATCTTGACTGCTATTTTGTTAATATATTATTATTTATAATTATATCGTTATATCTATTATATTATAATACAAGGATATGAACAATAGAAAATTAATACAAAATAATGTGTATAATAAATGATATATTGATATATAAGAGTGTCTCATCATCGTCTTTATTCATGAAATGTATTTATTTTATTTTTAAGAAAATTAAAAATTTGAAAAAATAATTACCTACAATTCTTTCCATCCACTTTAATTATAAATACTTGTAGTTCATAATTTTCAAAATGAATGTACCATAAGTTTTTTAAAATTTGGAAATCCATAAAAATCCATAAAATTATCATATGTATTATACGAATATATGATATTATCAATAATAATTGTTTAATAATATATCTTGATGAAAATTTTAATAATTAAATTAAATTATTATGTTTAAAATATTAATAATTAAGTTAAATTATTATGTTTAACTATATGGGTATTAAATAATCATAAACAACATGAAAAATTATGAAATTATGTACCTATATATAATTATTAATTAGGTATACAGTTATAAAAACATAAGTCAATGTGATGAGGAATATTGATCCCTATAATAGGTAGGTACTAATGGTACCTACTTATACGGCTAGACATACTTTTTCGAAGACGTTATTGGGAACTGGTAAATGGAAGATAAGCCTGTAACTGATATTGAAGGGAGGTGGATAAATAAATTTAATATCATATAACGATAAATTTAAATGAAATAATAATTGTACACAGTTACTCAATTGGTGAGGTGATTACGTTAAAGATTGGACTACGGAAATATATTCAAATCAATTATTAGGAGGAATACGTAGTTATAGTCTGTCCAAAATAAATGTCCACAGCCAAATATTTAGGCTTTTTAATGAAAGAGTTCTGTGTCAACGATTTGTCTAAAAAGCTTTATTTCGTGGTTTTAATTTTAGACAGTTTCATCAGAATAAAAATGTACACGACTTAACATTTCTAATAGGAATTTATTTCGTTTTATTAAACATCTAAATTTAAAATTTAAAAAAGTTGTTTAACACATAACATTAGTGTCAGTGGTGTACTTAGGATTATTTAGTGTCGCAAGACAATACTGTTATTTTTAAATTTCAAATAGTTGGGGGACTAAAGGTTTTTGTACAAATTGATGGGGTTTTAAAAATTTTTTTTATAAATTATAATCATATTATCTTTTACAAAAACAAAAATATTGTAACACTATTGTGTTCCAAAACTCGTGGAGTTTGAAAAATGATTGGTAAAATACTCGTTGTACGATGACGTGGTTACCTAAACTTCCCGCAACCGTAACAACAATTACTATTATTCATTTAAGGTGTAGCTGGAATTGGAATGATTAATTATAATGGGTTATATTTTAATTTTGGTTCGCATTGGACATTGGTGGAGATGGATTGGTGGATCGGGGATCATACAACCCGACAGTCCCTCTGAAATGCGCATCACACGTCGTGTTGCAGTCTGTCCGGCACGAACGCCGCGTTGACGCGTCCTTCTGGTACCACCGTCGCCACCGCAGCAGCTTCCGGTCGGTCCCCTTTCTGCAGGTCCACATCAGTCTGCTGATGCTGTTCCGGGCGCCTGCCACCGCCGCCGATGGAAGCTCGTCGCTGTTCGCCGCAGTCCGACGATTTCCACTTGAACGGCTTCCACTGTCCCGAATTGTAGCTCGGTCGCCGGGTCATTGACACCAGCACCACCGGTTGCGCGGCGTCCGACTTGCGCTGAGCCAGCTGTCTGAAACCGCCGCCACCGCGTTTGGCCGGCGCGTTCGAGTTCTGTCCTCCTCCTACTTCACCGCAGCCGTTTGACGTTGTCCGCTGTTGTACCACCCTGCACATAATACCAATATTAAATATGTTGTTATTACTTATCGCATACGCGCCACCTTGTCTGGGTTTTGATACGTATACAACGGTGGGAGTGTTAATTACAGCAATTAACTCGAGTTAGTTGAGTTGAGATAACGTTCAGAGCGTTAGGTTATAAGTCAACATTTACCAAATAATATATTGTTTAAAGTCTTAAACTCTAACGTTAATATTATGGAGACAAATATTAAACTCGATTAAAAAAAATTACTTCATTTTTTTAATTACCTCCTCACATAATGCAATATTGATGAAAGAGCAACTTTCCAATCTTTCAAACGATTCGCACCATTTTATGAAAAATTCGTTGTACTATTCTTTTTTAGTTCTTACTGCATACAATAGTGGTTTAGACAAACTATATTTTTGTTTCAACTAAATTATTAAATTAATTAATATTTATTTATTTACTTTTATTTAAAACCATTGTCTAGATTCTAGACTCTAGAACATTGTTATACAAAAAATATTTTAGTATTTTTATTTTGACCACATGCAGTTTGTTGTTTGTAAACCTGTATTCTGGTATCCTATAAGGATCTCTCTCTAAATTTCCCTAAGTTATAGACTTTAGTGAATAATGTGTTAAGTTGACGATATCCAATAATCGGGCGAGTAAAGAGCAGTAGTGAAGCTGTTAGTTTTTTAAATCAAGAAATATTTATGTTTTCTTGATATTTTATGTGGTAGGTCATCAAATGTTATATGGGACGTAAGATACGAGAATTTCAGAATTAAACAAAATAATAATACGGTCGTTTCATTCTATTTTTTAACTGTCTAATGCCAAAATTTGAAATCAACTGCACTTTGTGTATTCTTACTCTATTTTCCAATTTGGGTTGGATAGTGCCTGTTAGAATGAGGTTTGGTGAAAATAATATTATATAGATTATAGACATCACTTTACATGAATTGCAATATCATATTATTAATTAAAAAAAAAGTTATTATTAATTAACCCTCGGCAACATAAGGCCATATTGGAAGAAGGTTATTTTAAGTTGGTTTTTTTTAGTATGGGGGAGGGTTTGAACACGTGTTTATGTGGTGAGGATTTGTCACTAAAACCCGGGTGGTTACCAATCCGAGAACTATACTCTGTTCCACTAGAGATTATGCCACGCACCGACCAAAACTGGTTCCCTACGCCACACCCTGTCATAGGGGAGCCAGATTCGACAGCAGGGTGACGTAGGGGATGAGCAGAACCGGCATAATCTCTCGTGGAACAGGATAGTATAGTTACATCCGCCGGTGCTTGAACTATCAGAACACGTTTGGTGACCTGAAGACAACCACCGTGCCACACCAGACCACATTAATAATTTTACTGTTATAAAGTGGTGATATACAACTTGAATTTGTAAAAAAGTACATTTTTTTCTAAAATCGTTTTGTTGCTTAAATCTGGCTTGATTTTATCGGTCTTTCAAATATTATTTGGGTTCAGGACCATTGTTTCTATACGTCAATCTTGCAATATATATACCTATTATATAACCCATCGTAAATTTTTAGTGTATAAATATTACATATGTGGACCTGTTACAGTGTTACTTTTTGTCAAATCAAAATCAATGCTTATTGTTTTATAACATACATTATGAGCAGGTCGATTCGTTCAATAATAACTACGTTTTAAAAGTTATTGAGTCTTTTTTTTTGAATATTTAAAACAGTCATAGGTAAGGTATATTTAATTATTTTAGTAAGTAATTATTAAATTATTTTTATATCTATGTCCAGAATAATTATAATAATAGTTATTTTATCCAGGGTCATCGATTATTTTTATTTCAATTTATGCGAAAAACAAAAATGCAACGATAAACTCAAAACTAGGTACTATTATGCAAATTTCTTATGGTATAACAAACGTATGTGGTACCTGCGGCACATTAAATAGTAAAATTCACAATCCATATTTTACACATAGATAAAACGGTTGGCTGGATTTACTATTTTACTATATAATATAACACTCATATAAGTAACAAAAATGCAACTCAATAATATTAATTTATATAATATACTGAAAAACATGTTGACGTACACGTACAGTGGCGTATACATTTTGTATGTGGGTCATAAAAAAAAAATCAAACCTAGATACCTGCTCATTAAAAGAATATTTTTATTTCTATTTTTAGATTCTGAGTGAAACGATGAATGTATTGATTTTACAATGATGTGTGTTTTTTATTTTTATTTTTTTTGTGTCTGTGTATACGATAAGTAGTCGAAATAATGCTTCGATTTTCGACTTCAGTATCTTGTTCGATTGGAAAGTGAATATCGTTGGTGCATTGGGGAGGTCGAAATTTAAAATTCCCAGTACTTTTCAAAAGCGCCAAGAAAAACAAAAGAAAAATTAAGGAAAAACGGGAATTTTTACGCAAAATCGATTTTTCAGAAAATGAATTTGGTTTTTGGTGTATCTTTAAAGACAAATGACCGTAGATACATGCAATTTTCACTGGTTGTTTATATTTGCATTTTCTATACACGATAACATTTTCAAAATATTTTGATTTATTTTGAACAGTTTAGGGACATTTTCATTTTTCATTTTTTTTTAGTTTAATTTCTAGAAATATCAATAAAATTTTATTTGTTGGTTGAAAAAACTTGAAAATTTAATAGAAGGCTCCTAGTATATTGTTTCAAAGGCAGATGAAAAATATTAAAAATCGTTAGTCACAGTTTTTTTTATAAGCATTTAAAGTTCAAAAATTTACAAAATATGGAAAAATCACGAAAATTAGCATTCTAAGATTTGAAAATGCAAGATTTCTCATAAGTTTGTCTACCTTTAGCAATAAAAAAATCTCTACCGGAAAGTCAAATTAAATTTTTATGAGCGTTAGAAATTCAAATTTTGACAACATTGGATATTCACTCGATTTCTCATGTAGCTATTTCCTTATTTTGTTGTAATTCAAAAACGAATGACTGTAGATACATGAAGATTTCACTGAATATTTATATAAGCATTTTCTATACACATTACAATTTTTAAAATATTTTGACTCTTTTTGAGCTGTTTACAGATATTTTCATTTTTCAATTTTTTTAGTTTTTTTTTCTATGAATATCAATAAAGTTTTATCTGTTGGGCCAAAAAGTGTAAAAATTTAATACGAGGCTCCTGATATATTTTTACAATATCAGTTGAAAAATATTAAAAATACATAGGCACAAATTTTTTTTATAAGCATTTAAACATCGAATTTTGACAGAATTTTTCAAAATCTCGAAAATTATTATTCATCGTAATTAATAAATTATAAAATGTTCAGTTTTTATAGCTAAAGATTGAAAATTTAAAACAAGATTCCACGTAAGTAGTTAATTCTCTTACAGAAAAATCTAAAAAATATACAATCACAGTTTATTTTTATAGTCATTTTATGTTCAAATTTGGTCGAAATTACATATTAAAAAACCTAGTTATTTTGTTGTGATTATATAATATTATTCGTGGGTACCTACTTGAAACTTCTAAAGTGTACTATTATATATCTATGATAGTATCAGGGTTTGTTATTGATGTTGATGTATAACGTGTTATAAGTACCTAATGGATATTGTGATAATGTGATATGATTAATTTGAAATTTATTATAAGTCAATTTTTTTTTTAATACCATAGATATGTATTTAATTTGTCTTAAACCTAGACTGACATACACATACCGTTTTCTCTCAGAATCGTTTTTCTTATACAATGATATTGTATCATTGAATTCAAAATGAATAGCATCCATTATACAGTGACCCACTTGTAACCTGCTGTACATCAGAGCGACATCCACTTACCCACCTTTTTTCATTGGTCTTAAGCCCGGCAACTGAGGCCATTAGCTGTAAGATGGTACTGTAGGGTTTTTGATACGGTGGGGAACGGTTGGAGGAACACGTTTTTTTCTTTGGCAGAATTTTCTAGTTAAATTTTAGCGCTAACAATAAGAACCCTATTTTATAAAATTTAAAAAAGGCCAATGGGGGGATCTGACACCCCCACTAGGATACGCCCTTGTACACGTACACCCTTCAAAAGTTCTATCGTGTACCAAAACCATCATCGTCCCACTTCGACCGTGGTTTGGAACTCGTGGAAGTGGATTATTTTTCGATTCAATACGGTTCTATCATCGTGCATTGTGCAACTAAAGTCATAAATCATAATCATACAGAACTCGACTTTTTCTTAAAATTCGTTAGTAATTATAACTATGCCAATCTAGAATTTGAGAAAGTAGAAAAAAAGTCGCTGGTACGAAAATACAATAGGTATATGTATTGAATACGTAGGTATAGGCGGCGGCGGGGCAAGTTTAACCACTTTCTAACGGTTAAAAATTAATTGCGAGCTCGACGCATGCAACTAAATTAAATGCGCTCGTTACATTCTCAATTATTATTATATTTTAAATTATAATAGCTATAGGTACCTCGTACATAAACTTGTACAGTTGACGTTTCGCCAGTTATATTTGTAGTATTTATTATGAAAAAATACGGAGTTCCTTATTTTTTTTTCTTCATTCGCTGCGGGCAAACACGATCGTACCCGATACATACATACTCAACAGTTCAGGCCTGTTGATATATATTTAATATATACATATATATCACACACACGCACATATATATTTATGTTATATTCGTGTGAGGCTAAGCGGCCCGTATATTATATACTGCACCATAATATTATCTTTCTAAAACATTTCCCATCACCCACGTCCTGACTTTTGACCGAAAAGTATATACAATATACATATACATTATACACACACACATAACAGAGTATATAGTATTATAGTCTCTCTCTCTCTCTATATATATATATATATATATTAGTATATTATATATCGTAACATGTATACAGTCCCGGAAATGCAGTAACGTCACAGTCTCAATAATCCTATGCGAAAATCTGTTTTTGTTTCTTCGTACCCTCCGGATAACTTGATCCGGTGTGAGTGCGTGTACAATCGTGTGTATAGACATTTCTCTCTCTCCATTTCTCTGTGTATGGTCGTCGTCGTCGTCTTCTTCATACCAATAACGATGTAAAGCCATTGGCGTAGCCTACAGCCGTTAATACGAACTACAATATAATATATACACGCGCGCCCGTATTGCTGACACGCGAAAGTCATCTGCAGGGATTATACACTGCTTATCCATTAAAAAAAAAATAATAATAATAATAAACACGCTCACACGATACAGTACAGCGAAAATAAACTTGTTATAGATTTTATACTCGATAATATGTGGTTATTATAAGTTTCACCAATCTTGGTTCTAGATTAGTGGTGGGGGATCACATACAATATAAGCTATAGCGACGACCGTTACAGCCTTAGAAGGCTTAATGTAAACGAAATCTGGTATATTAAACCATCGCGGTACGTTCAAATAGAGGTTAATAGTTTGGTTTCCATAGCATCTATATTCGATATAATATTATTATGTATGTAGTATGTAAGGAACTAAGGAAGTACAATACAGGTAATAAATTGGTCAAATCGTCCTAAATAGTCCCTATAGTACTCTCTAGTCCCTACTCACTAGATTACCAGAATACAAAACTATAACAGTATCAAACGTAAGGCGAGATTATACCTACAAGTTCTACCATATGGTTTTTTGTTACTATATTAAAATATCTACTTGGAAACAATTTTCGGTGTTTTCAAACGTATACACATGAGAAATACATTTTTTTTTTAATATGATGAAATTCTCTAGTAACACGTAATTACTGTTTAGTCTTTTGATTTCGCACCATTCATTCTTGGGCTGATTTAATTATAAATCAAAGAAGATTTTAAAATCTTTGTCAAATTTAGAACAAAATCAATGATCCCTCAAATATATACACCAAAGTAATATTTTAGCTTAAGGATATTACAAAAAAATTATAATTAATGTTATTAAATCGTTATATAAATGTAACAAAAATTATTATTTTAGTATTTTTTTCAAAATATGAGAGATAATACCTCCGATGATAATATTTAATTTGCATTATTAAAATGTAATATTTTATAGTGGGTAGGTATACATAAAATAGAGCTGTTCTAAAAAAAATCATAAACATCCGAGCCCCATGTGATAAAATATCCTACTTCGACTATATTATTTTTTATATTACATGTTATAACTTTTTAAGTTTCTACCCTCTTATCTTTTATATAAAAATATAGTATGTGTAATATGTATATAATCATGTCTATATTATGTATGCTTTTATGTTATTGTAAAACTGAGCTTCGTTTTTCGAAAATTCTTCAACACCCGCGAAACATAGTAATGGAGTGATTTAAATTTACCTAAGCTCTGGAGTGCGTCTATATCATATATTATAATTAATATACGCGTGTTCAGAAAAGCATTAGTATACACTAGAACATGAAAATAACGGAGGCTAATGCGAAAATGTAATACGTGTATGGTGTATGTATACTCTCACCATCCTGGTAGATCCCTAAATTTTAATTTTAATACCTAAAATAAAGGCTCAACGGCGACATCAACAAATTCATAAAACCAGGAAAATCACAGCTCCACAAAAATGTGGAGTGCAAAAAGCCCGAACTATCAAAACGTAAACAAAAGCACTATAGGTACAGGCTTAAATTATCTGTGATACACGATGATACAATTTTTAATTTTACTATAAAAACAAAATACAGCGACCGTTTGGATACTACCGTGGTATCTACTGTAGGTAATGTTTTTATACATTCCACGGACGTCATAGAAAAACTACGTTCTAATAAACAAAGTTTTAAAATGGTTAAAATGTTGTGAAAAACCAAACTAATGGCAATATAGGCACATTTATTTGAATTTAAAAGCGGAATCTCAAAGTAGGTTTTTGATCCTAGATTAACCTAGTTTCAGATTGTTGGTTGGAGGGTTTTTCGTCTCTCAAGAGGTCGAGTTCAATAGGAACAATGGAAATTATGAGTTCTAGTACTAATCTATTAGTATTGTAAGGGTGCATTAAGCATAACCGAAATCCAACAATAACAAATTTAAAATACCACATAACTATTATAGTAATTAATGAAAAACTATGTGTCATGACTATATGAGTGCTAAGACCTATGACCAGTAGTTTTATTCACACAATAAATGAATACAATGGTATAGTGTATACAATCTTGAGATTTTCTGTCTATTATTTAATAATGTATAAGGATCATTGAAACCTCAAGTTTGTCAAATTACCACACTCTCCCAGACTATATAGGTACCTATAGATAATTCTTAGAGATAAATCATAAAATTATCTTTACTATAAATAGTATAAATCTTTTGAAGACCTTAACTTTAAAGTGATTTATAGCATACTTAACATTAATTATATTATATAATAGTGGTTAAAAAAAAAACGAATTTTCACGTGTAAAGGTCATAAATTTAAAAAATACATAAGCGCAGTTTATTTTTATAGTCATTTTAAGTTCAAATTTGGACGAAATTACATAAAAAACCTAGAATAACTATTTTAGTTATTTTGTTGTGATTGTGTAATATTATTCGCGGGTACTTGAAACTTCTAAAGTACACTATTATATATCTATGATAGTATCAGAGTTTGTTCTTGATGTATAACGCGTTATAAGTACCTAATGGATATTGTGATATGATTAATTTGGAATTTATTATAAGTACCTATATTATAGGTCAATTTTTTTTTAATACCATAAATAAGTATATTATATGTCTTTTACCTAGACTGACATACCGTCTCCGTTCAGAATCGTTTTTCTTATACAATGATATTATATCATTGAATTCAAATTTAATACTATCCATTATACAGTAACCCACTTGTAAACTACTGTACAGCAGAGCACCTTTTCTTTTTTTCAGTTTAATAAAATTAATTTTTGAATATTTCTAATTAATTAAATTATTTTTTCTTGACATGAAACTTTTGTGTTGAGTCACATTATTGCTGAATAAACTAACAAAACAGTTATAATTAAAAATTAAATGTGCTCTGAAGACTAAAAGTTGTAAAAATACATAATGTACCTACCAATTAGTCTTGATAAAATACTAAAAATACATAAATTAGTCAACACCAAACACCTGCAATGCTTTATATTTTTATTTATATAGATAACAGATTACCCCAGGGGTGTAATTAAGGGGCTCTCGGGGGGATATAATATATCAATACCACTCACCATTGTATTTCAAAATTTGGTTTTTTGTATACGAAAAAATCTCTATCCCTCCCCTCATCCCCAGGACAAATTCCTAATAACACCACTGAATTACCCACATAATATTATAAATAAATAAATAAAAAGCATTCCATTATAATTTATACAATATAATGAGTGGATTTAATAAATATAAAGGAGGGTGTTTATTTGAATCGACTTACTGCATAATGCCATAGGAATCATTGAATTTATCCCGGTTCGGTTTGATTTTTCCTTCACTCTTGGTCGAACACATTGATGTCCTTCTGCTTCTCGAACGATCGGGGTCAACCTCTTCTATTATTTCGGGTAAGAACATCATATGTTGGTCTTCAGGAACACTAAAAAAAAATCATACATGAAATAATGGCTAAAACATAATATTTTATAAAATGACTGCTGTATTATAACTATTACGGCATGTGGTGAACTGATCCTCTGTGTGATTTTTTTTTGAACGGTACAGACGCACTTGTGTATGGAATCGATACTTCCAACTCGTTGAAGTAAATATCTTTGACCAAAGGAATTTTAATCTTAGCAAGGTAATCTACAGCTAAATAAGCTGCCTACGGAACATAATTCGTTATGATTATGATTTAACAATTTTTGTTATAGCTAATAGGTAATATAGCTGAGATGTCGAGATATTATTATTGTTCTTGTGTTAATTTACCTTTGTGTGTCTATCGATTAAGTAATTTAATTCAAAATCTTCTTCGTCGTCACCAAAGGGATTTATTAATTGTTCAGCTACCTGCAGGAAGAAATATTATGATATATAATTCACTATACGTTTTAATATCAAATAGTATAATATTAACTGCACCGTAATGTTATGAGTTTTCAAGAATAAAATATGCATTTATTTTGAATTTTTGAATAAGTATTTAGTTTAAATTTTAAATGGAAAATAATTATATATTAAAGTGTACTTGATTGAGAAAATGCTAAAGTAACGAGATCAAACGATAAATAGCAATAGATATTTGAATAAAATATATTATCTTATAATATTAAACAAATTTAAAAAAAAAAAAAAAAACATTTTCGTATTTTTTGAGATATTGCTGTTAAGTGTTAACCTAACATTTATTAAAGTCAGATGAAATCTCTCAATGCTACTATCGGTTCAGCTTATTTGTAAATTATTCGTTTGTTTAAATTTATAATAATAACAATATCATATAGACACATAGACACATAGTACATAATATTATTCACATGAATAACACTATTATGTTACCTACTATAGACGATTTTATAATATTTGAAGTTCTAAATTATTTTCTTATAGTAAGTATTTAACCATTTTACTGTTTGCAAATTTGTACGTATTTTTAAAATCTCATCCAATGCACAAATTGTATTTCATATATTATTCAAAATAAGTGTTCAATAATTACTAATTAGTAATTACGAATTAGCTTTTAACATAAAACCTAAATTACTATGTTAATTTATTTCCTTTAATATTACTATATTCAATATTTTACTGTATTCAATTTGTAAATATTCGAGACTACCTTTATAGAATAAATAATTCTTTTGTGATTGAAATTTATAATTACTTAAAATGTAGTAAAATAAAAAATTTGTGAAATATTATAGTTTGTTTGCTCAATTTGCTCAGTTTGAATTTATTGTTATTATTATTTCCTTTATAATTATAATATTTTATTGTATTCAGACAATTTTAGTTTATAGTTGTTATTATTATATTTAAAAATTAACCAATCTTCTCAAGAAATAATAACTATAGATCTGTAAAATGCAAAAATCCATCTAAATACTACGCAGTACGTCTCCTCGTTGTAATATTATTCAATTAAGCTTGTGCTGGTGCTTAATTTTTGTTAACTATGGTAAAACAACACTCAAAAGCTTACCTTCCTTATAAAGGGGTTTGGTTTTTACTACAATATTATCTTTTTATTTATACACAAGTTCAATAAATTATTTTTTTTAATTATTAGGAATCCACTTAAAAAATGAACTTCACGATAAAATTATAATTAACTACGTACCTTTAATAGTCCCATGAAAAACAAAAACTGAACGATTGTAAACACCGGTATATATACATCAAGTTCTGTTTGCAGCATTTTGTTTGATCCTTCCACGTATTGCCTCCCAACAACGGCAGTAATGAAAAATGAATACGTTGCAATCGTAACGACCTTAAAGAATTAGAACATTTTTTATTTAATAAAATATAAAATACAATATGGTATTTTTATCATCGTTACCTGCGTATACGCCAACGGTATGCTGATCCAATCGTAACTCCACAAAAAACCGCATTTTGATCTGAAGTCGATAAATTCCTAAACGGAACAATAATAAATTGTTATAATTGATAATTATTATCGTAATAAAATTTCTCATTTTATTTTATTGAATACTTAATCATAGTATAGCACATTGCCGATTAAATTATGCATTGTTTGTAGTTAACAATAAACTAATTAAACTTAAACATTATAATATGTTCGCTTATATATTACATAATTAATACGTAAATGAGTTTGAAAAAAAAATATTGTCATTTAAATTTATTTTTATTTCAATGTCAGTTTACAACATTTTTTGTTATACAAGTGACTTAAACCAATATTTTTTGAAAATTGTAACATGTATGGAAACGTATTATATACTGTTATTAATTAAAATTGTGTTTCGTTAATAGCAGAAAGATGATTAGTCATATCTACTAAATTAGATTATTTTTGTCAAATGACAAAACTGTAAATACGTGGTATTATAATATTATATAGGAATAATAGTTAAGAATTAGAATCAACAAATTCAAACTTACAACAAAACCATGTCTTATTCAAAATCACAAACTGATCACGATATGATCGAGACTTAATATTGTTTACTTTATATTATTTTCTTTATATTGGTTAGAGTGAAGTGAACAGCAAAAAAAGCCATCACTGCTAATACACCTTAAAATATTTGTTGTCAGTATCTATATACATTATTAATTGTCAGCACCACCTTCCCATTATAGTTAATAAAAACACAATCGGTAAACCCAGGATAGGTTAGGTTAGGTTAAGTTCATTAACTAATTCAATTAAAACTTTTTAGCTATAAATAATTTTAAATTACAAAGATAGCCGACTGTAAACATAATACGATGTAACTATATACGTACCAGTAATATTTACATTGCAGGTGCATAATAATAATTATAATATTATAATGACAGTTAGAAACATGAATTCAAAATTAAAATCATTACCTTTTCAAATAATAAATGTGAAAACCAAAACTTTACCCAACACATAAACCAAATCAATATACGAACAATGCTTAAAGATTTCCAAAACACCAAAATAATCACTGATTGGGCAGAAACTGTAGAAGTAGTATGGAGCCACGGTGATCTACGGTGATGATATAAAGAGATCATTCTTAAAATATCAATTTTCTCCACAATGTATACAGCTGAATTCATTTCAATCTCACTCGCTAACGATACCATACAACATTAATATTAAAAAGCCATGGTTTTTAGTAACTCCCTCAGAGCCTTAACAATCGTTGAAAGTGTTCTTATGTCGACCAAAATATAATATTTCCTTAGAACTAAATACTTAAATACCCCTAACAGAGTAGTAGAGGATAGTTGACTCCATGTCAGCAGAATAAACAGAAAACTTAATCTAAACTTAATCAAACCGCATTATAGTATGGTACCTATAATTTCCATCTACAATAGCACATTAAAGAATTGTTAATGATCGATCAGATAAATCAGTAAATAAAATTTTTAATATTTGGAATTTTACATAAAAAAAATTAATTTTTTATACATGTTGGTATAAGCATTTTGATTTTGGTTGTACGAAGTTGCAACAAACTTGTGAAAATGAAATTTAAAATTCAATATGTTTAAATTGGTTCTGAATGCTAGAAAAGTGTTTGACTAGTAATTGCATATAAAAAACGATTTTTTAAGCGTTTGGGTTCGAATACGAAATCTGATTTTCGATGTACGAAATAAACATTACCTACATACATAATACTGTGCAAAATGCAAAGTGAGTTTGAATAATTTTTATCATCTCATTTCTTGTATGGTCGTCTTAAAACGAATTTATGTGATTTGTATATCTTTAAGTTATGAGTAGGTGAGTAGGTGGCGGGTCACGTTTAACATGATTTAACGACGTGGTGTAACTTTTGTGGACTATTCGTTCAGCCAGATGTAGTTTATTTTTTAGATTGAGATGTCTAAGGTCTAACTCTTAAGTTTATAAGCTATTGTAAAGTATACTCTAACTCTATACTAATCTGTAACGGAGACACGTCAAAATATCCCGGTAAAAATATCCCCTACAAAATATTCCATGACAAAATATCCCGCGTAACTAGTGATTATACATTATTGAATATATTTAAAATTTTAAAATGAAAACCAAATTAAATGTTTGAGACGGAAAATTGAAAATAATTATACCAAATTAAAATGTTGAATATTTAGCTTGATAATAAGAGATATAAATGTGATAATATGCGATCAAATTTTCCGTGGATCTATGGATATGAATAAATACCTATATATAATATTATATTCGATACGATATAATATAAAAGTAATATGTAATCGTAAATTAACTATAGGTAATGACTACAGTAATAATATGGTTTATTGAAAACAATTATTTACAGGTAAGTGACGATAACTGAGTCTATAATATCATTTAAAATTATTATGTTGTTTTTATTATTATTAATTTAAAAATATAAATAATCAGTAGTGTTTTCATTAAAAAAATTTTTCATACATCATAACATTTTTTGAGATATTTTTTGAATTTTGTAATTTTTTTTTTAACTGTATTCGATAAAAACTTTTTGACTTAGTAAATAAGCTTGAAAATTGCAGTCAAGGTTCTTCATAAGTTTCTTTAAAATGGAAGTTAATAAATACTAAATATAAATTGGCATGATAGTTTTTAAATGAATTTAAAGTTAAATGTTGACAGAATTCATCAAAATCTCGAAAATGTTCAAATTAAGTTTTTCTTTCCATAGCAATGTTAATAGAAGATTCTACTACTAATTTTTCTACTTTAAAAAAAAAAAAAAAGTTTACCAGAAAGTAACAAAAATTATTTATAAGCGTTCGAATTAAAAATTTGTATGATATACATATTAATATTCAGCAAAAAATTAAAGAATTCCCATTACTTAATCGATTTTCGATATTTTGTTGTATTTCCAAAACTAATAACCGTAGACAGTTGACATTTTCTATAAATATTTATGGGTATTAGTATTTTCCGTACATGTTAAAATGTTTGAAATACTTTGACTCTTTTTGAGGCTTTGAGCCAATTCTAGCCATGAGAATTTTTACAATTTTTTTCAAATTTTGTATACTATTTTTCAGTTAGAAATTCATAAAAGTTTTTTTTTTCATAGCTCACATTGGAAACTTTAATAGAAGATTCCCCACAAATTGCTTTACATTTACCAAAAAAAAAAATGTTACGCAATTTTAAGGCATAAAATATTTTCGATTTTTATTAATTTTCTTTTTTTTTAATTATTAAATTTGATTATTTATGGGAGGTCATAAAGTCTCCACTCAAAAATATTTCTCGTATGCAATGATGTATTATTGAATTCGAATATAACACATTCATTACAATGACATACTCGACAACTGCTGTACAGCAGTGTGGTACCCACTTGTCCACGTTTTTTTTTATGCATTTATCTTTTTGTTTACGCATTCAGAAATATCTAATCAAACTATCAATTATATTAATATATATATTATATATATATTAATATCCATATGATATTGAGATATAACATAATATATTACCTGCATTATGAGTTTCACTCCTTCGGAATCTTCAATTCGCTTAGACTTTCTGGCTTCTTTCAACAGACTTATGAACCAAGTGCAAGGCACCCAATAAGTATTAAACTCCACCTTAGGGAGTGAATAAAATACTTCTATCTCGTCGGCGGTCATGTAGCCTGAGAATATTTATTAAAATTAATAATGTATAGTGTATATTATGATATATATAAATTACAATAGGTAATATATAGGTACTAAAATGATATTATAATATAATATTATGTTTATCTTTGTGGTATGGTCGTATGGATCCATGAAGTTATAACTTGCCTGACTCAGCGACGTGCTCTAATGTTGGAAAACGTTTTTTCACGGGTGAACTGATAGAACGCAATACCAAAATCAATGTCAAAATCAAATATCTCATTAGTGATCTTCGAATCATACAACCGTAATCGTCGTTGCCCTCTACATACATCGATATCACATGCATTGCTCTTATGAAAAATAAAAAATAACATATTTTAATTTACAACACAGCGGTGAGGACTGAGGATAATGGAGGAAAATTCTACATACCTGTCGGGCCACGGAATCGCCAAGTATTGGTTCCACCATCTTTTGGCCACATAAGTCACATAAAATCCTAAGATAAAGGATAATGGTAATTGACTAATAAAGGCATCACAGTATCGAACTATTTTTTCAAATATTCTGAAACATAATTAATAGTTATATGTGAAGTATGAATTATCATGTTTATAACAATAGAATAAATTATATTATTTAGTTATCTAATAGGTTTATTATTTAATTATAGTATTGTGATAAAAATACGTAAGACTATCGTTTTATTTAATAAAATATAGAAATCATTTAATCTTTAACCTTTGTCTACAATATTCTCAATTTTAAAATTATAATTAGTAATAGTTAATAAAAATAAATATACCTATTAATAATTCATAATACATTTCATAGAATGTAACAGACTACAAAAATTTATAATTTTAGATTATTGTTCATTGGTGGTTATTCAAACATATAACATTGTCTTTTAATTAATATATAATATACGTAATAGGTACCTATCTAAATATTCAAAATGTTAGTTTATTTTAGGTCATCGATAATTATACGACTTGTTCATGATTAATTTGTGTTTACCAATACGTTTGTTGATTTCAGTTGGAAATTGATTTAACAGAAATTAAATTTTCCATTAAAATTGAATGTGCAAAGTACATAATATAGTTTTCAGATATAATTTACCCTTTATTTGACAAAAAACAATTTTTAATTTTAAGAGAAAATAGTCATAAACAAAGTTATAGAGAATTTCAGTGGACATTTTAAGTCGATAAGCCTATTGAGGGTATTGCAACGACGGAGGGGACAAAGAAAACAATTTAAAGAGGAACACGAACTGGACTGGAGACATAATGTATTCAAGCTCGTGAATTAGTTATTATTAATATGGTCCTTGCCGCGGTAGTTGGAAATAAGGAATTTAAGTGCACAAATGATGACTTAGCAGTTAGCACTCGGTGGCAAAGGATAAACATACAAAGTGAATATAAGTAAAATAGTATAAATATGACTGTGCACATGGGGATAAAATAAAGTAGCTTTCATTTTACCTACTTTTCGAAACAAAAAACATTTATCTATAACTAAATGTAGGTATATCATGTGGACAACAAAAACAGATAGAGACATGTAAATTGCATTGTTATCATTAAATTTCAATTTTAAACGAATATCAAAATTAATTAAGAGGCTGTGTTGTTTCCGTCTTAAGCACGAACGATTATAGACAAAACGCGTTTACGCAGTCTGAATATTAATCGCTCAATATTGGTTCTAGAGTAAAAATACTTATCATATAATTGAATTGTGACAATATTTCTGAGGGCAAGTCGTTGCATTTTTTCCATTATACCCAAAATAACGTTAATTATATCGTTTAAATGTCAACATTTTTTTTAAATACCTTTAACTTTTCAAAACTGAAATTAAAAAAAAAAAACTCAACGTCTTGCTCTCCAAAATATTGTCATTTTTTAATTTTGTAATAGGTGTTTTTATTCTGACACCAAAATTGAGCGACTTCTACTCAGACTGCAGTGTAAACGTCGTACGTGTGTAAGACGGATACAACACTTGCGGGTTCGACGTCCTTTGAATTTGAAATATAGATTTTATATATTAAGACTATAAATATCAGAATCGTGTCATTTCAATAATTTGTTCAAATACAATGTAATATTGTAATAGCATGTGGAAGCGTTACTTGAAATAGTCAAGTATAATTACATCATACGAATCACTTCAAGTTGTAAACTCCGTCAGAATTATACATTATTGTCATTATACCAATTATATGTATGTACACGCGTCCTATTATTATATAATAGTATATCATTTGTAAGCGCACGTGTATTCTATTATCAGAGTCACGCGGACACGTTAATTGAATAGTCAGAAAACACAATGTGTAATCATTATATTATATTATATTATATAATGTAGGTACACAAATACAAAATGGAAAACGACAATAATTACGACGTGCCGAGAAGATTCGATTAATTATTATTGTTAATTGTATTGTTAATATTTCTATGTGCGGTCATTCTTTATAATAGTAATAACAATAATATTTATTACTCGCGGTCATGGCTCGAGTGAGTTCTGTGCAAGATCCGACCATGAGAATATTGTTTTTTCCGTTCGAATAATATTACTGATAATAATTTAGGTACATAGTATAATACATTAATACAATTACATACACGATATGAATTATGTACTTACATATAGTTACATATCAAATAATATGGTGATTCGTAACTTTTTGTTTACCTTAAACGGGATGCTTTAACTGGTAAATAAAAAAAACACCACCACAAGGCATCATTCCACTACAGCCGCGTGGACTGGCCGGAGACCAATTGGGATTTATAATGTATAATTATTGTTCTATAATATAATAATATTATGGTCTGTTTTATGGAGTGCTTGACAGATTTTATTTTCTCTAGGCTCGAAAATTTCACTTCACGAGCCTACATTTTAAACTACGCTCAAATATATAAAATTGGTGAATGATAAAAATAGGCAATAATTATTAATTATTTTTCCCAAAAAATATAGTTTTATTAATTCAAACTTTAAACAGTGTTTAAAAACTTAAAAAAAAATTGATAACAAATTCTCACTCATATTGCTTATGGAAGGAGAGAGGGGGACATGAAAATGATTACCCCTGGGCATGGCTGTGTATATTATTATAATTCACAATGACTGTACTTGCTTAATCTAGCTCTAAAATTTCATTAATATATTACATTAATGATCCTTTGAATTCAATTTTCCATGTTTCCTAATGAATTCCTCTCGTTTTCTTTTTGAAGAGATTTCTACAACTATTTAAGGTGCTTCCAAGTTACGATTTGATAATTGTCGATAAGCATTTTTAATGTAAAAAACATTAATATCGACGTTTATAATTCCTGCGGTGTCATTAAATATTGTTTCAAAATGTTCATTATGTTCATTTTTAAATCCACTTATTTCTACCAAAAAATCTCTTTCATTTTGTTCTAATATGTAATTTTAAATTTTAAATTCCGGATTTTGTATTATAATATGTTTATATCCCGTATTTTTCTTTTAAAGTTTTTTCGAGTTTTAATATCCAGTTATACTTAGAGTTAAGACAATTAGTAGTTATCAGATTTTTAATAAGTTTATCTAATCTAGTAGTTATAGCTTTGGTGCCTAATCACTGTTCATATAATTATTTGCGCCACTGTCAATATTTGTTTGTAATATATTATTGATAATAATTGTAGGTACCTTTTATTCTGTTTTGTTTATGCTTTTTAGATAATAATTTTTAAAAGATGTATACAACCGAAATATATAAATCCTTTTAATTTCATCAAGTCTAAGGATTCTACGTTCATACTAGGGTATTTCATAATAATATGTAATATGTGCTTACCCGTATTACATTGAATATTGCGAAACTGCTACCTTGCATTTCGAACACGATGACATACTTGGACAGATAATTATAAAAATATGACTTAGGACAATCGAACTTATATATGTGTGAAATGAATATTTGTAAATTGTAATTCAAGTTGCTCAAATATTGTGGATATTTGAATCATTATTCATTGTATAGTATACCTACGTTTAATAATTCTATTAACATTAACTGACTTTTCGCTTGATTTATAAGTTATATCATAGGAGTTATAACACATATACCTAAATAGGTATACAATAAAGATAAATAATTGTAATACTTTGGTCTTTGGCACTTGCAAAATTTGAAAATGTCAAACGGTTTAATTTTTAATAAGCGTATAAATAACACTAGTAGTAATAATACTTAATAGTAGGTAGCTTAAAAAACTCAATTTTTAATCAAGACAAACCTATCAGCAAAATGCCGTGTATTACTATAAAATATTATATTTTTTTACGAAATTAATAAGTAAAATAAACACTACAATAAATGCATCACAACACCTTCTGCCCTTCTGGATATATTCCGAATAAGAACAATGTTGTAGGTACTTAAAATTGAATGACTTCATGCGTATACCTGACGGAAAATGGAAACGCGTTTTGATTTCTGAAGTTATAGTTCCAAGCTAAACAGTTATCTTACACGATTACCAAAAGCGGATCTGAAGCTCATTTAAGGAGGGGAAGAATTGACATCATAAAATTTCAATATATACATATTAGTCAATAAACATCTGTTATATATATAAAAAAAAATTAAACCGTATAAAAATTCAACAGTCTTTTATTCAATATTAAATAAACAAATGTATTAATAATTTATTTTTTCAACAATTGTATGGTTCTTTTTTTACTAGCCGCAAATGTGTCAATGAACAATGGAAATAAAGTATTCAGCACTCAATATTAAAATTGAGTTAGTTACCACAGTCACACTGAACAAAATATTTAATTTATTTTATAAAAATGAAGTGATAACAGATTTGACAGTAGGAAAAAAGTCTCGGGGGAAAAAAAGTCTTGGGGGTAAAAAGTCTGTTTTCTAAAGATAATATTTAATAATTATGTAATCATATAATAGGTAACTACTAAATACAAAACAGATAAAACAAAAATAAAAACTATTAATTATAAAATTATAAAAAAAATATCTCGTTCAATCTTAGTCAATAATATTATTAAAATATTATACATTTATACATCACTAAGTTAGATGACTTGTCAGGAACATTTATACAGAATAGGAAAAAAAAATATTACATAATTTTAAAAATCCTAGTTGTATAAATTGTTATCGCTGTAACTTTAAAAAATTATTTTATAGTTTTATGAAATTTTTTTGCCCCGAGACTATTTTTCCGGGACTTTATATCAGGGACTTTTTTCCGTTCCCTAACAGATTTATACGACGGTGCAGCATACTGCAGCACTGCTTGGTGGTAAAATAATTTCATCTGTCATTCTATCCATAATCTAAAACTATAAGTTATAACCGTAGCTAGTTGTCTACAGAAATTTTGGTTATAACCAAGAAAATATTCTTTTATTATCTATAACCAATTTCAAATTTGTTTTGAACATAATCTTGTTATTTAAATTCGATAATTTGTGTTGATAATCAAATAACAATATAATTGATAAGATATTAAAAAAAAAAAACCTTTTTTGTA